GATAGAACTGAAGCCTAGTTCTTCTCATCTTGTCAAAGTCCATTCTCTGTCCAGCTTTTGATCATTCTGGCGATGAGCTGCGTTCCTTTGGAGTGGGAATGCGCTCGGGAGGTTTTTTGAATTTCCAGCTTTTCTGCCTGCTTTTTTCCCCTTGTGGTTTTACTGCCCTCTGGTCTTTGATGATGTGACGTACTGAGGGTTTTGGTGTGGTGTCCTTCCTGTTGTTAGTTTTCCTTGCTACAGTGGGCCTCAGTTGTGGGGCCTATGATGGGGAGGAGGGAGGGGGGAGGGATTGCATTGGGAGTTATACCTGATGTAAATGACAAGCTGATGGGTGCTGACGAGTTGATGGGTGCAGCACGCCAACATGGCACAAGTATACATATGTAACAAACCTGCACGTTATGCACGAGGTGATAGATATGCTAAATATACTAATTTCATTTTTATACAATGTATATTAGTATTGAAACATCACACTATACCCCATAAATAATGTACAATTATTTTGTGTCAATTAAAAACAAAAACAAAACTAAATGAATATTTTCCTTGAATAGAACATTTAAAAAATTTACATCTTACAGTGCTGGTTATCTTCTCTGATTACTTAGCAGAGACTTCATCTGAATCCTTTTGTACTGACATCCTCCTCTAATAACTCTTAAAAAGAAATCGACAACAACGATACGGTATTTATTTGCTCTGTTGTTCTGTCTGTTGATATCATTTCTGGTTTCAAGTACACACATGATGCTAAAGCAATTCAGAAGTGACTAGACTATCTCAGGAAATGCTAATAGTCATATGAAGGTGAAATTACATGGAAAATCTAACATTTTTTAAGGAGAAGAGGATACAGTGTCCAAGATGAAAGCAATAGTAGAAAAATATGTTACCTGACAGCACACTATCATCTTTAACACTGTTATCACCATAAGGTATTTAGCATTGTAGTAATAAACATCAAAAGCACTTGTACAGCTGAACCATAGTCTATTACAAATGGTAAATAAATAAGATTGATTATTTAACAGTCTATTGATCAAACTTACTTATAGGGCAATCAGAGGCTATTATGGTTCAAAATAAATTTATGATGACAATGTCATTATTCAGTTGTCTGTTTACATTGAGGATGAATACAGAGATAATGTTAGTTAACAGCCGCATCAATAATTTGATAGTGACACAGAAGATGTACAGTAAAGTAGAAAATTAAGCTATAATTATTAAAGTAAGAAGAGTATATGCTGAGTAAACAAAAGGCCATCTCTTCCCCTAAGCTCTGTTACAGAAGCCATGTGATTGGTGAAAGGAGCTAACACATTGTATCTACTCTTCATTCTTCCATTTTACTATTCTTGCACTTTTTCTAGCTGTACAAGCAAAGTGGTTGTATACAATTTCAATATACACAATTTTGATTATCAAAATTTAAATAGGATGTTAAAAAAAATAAAGCATAGGGTTTATTTGATTTTGTCAGACTTCCCACTAATAGTGGAAAATCTTTCTAAGCCAGGATCCCAAATGCATTTAGTTATCATGTCTCCTTTGTCTGCTCCAATATATGACAGGGCCTCAATCTTTCCGTGTTTTTTATGACCTTGACATTTTTGAAGAGTATTGGTCAGTTATATTGTAGAATGACCCTCAATTTGGAATTGTCTTATGTTTTCTCATGAGTAGACTGAGGTTGTAACTTTTTTTTCCTGCAAGTGCCCTTCTTGATGCTTCAATCAGAGGCTACATTATGTTGATATATCATGTTATGATGATGAAGATAACTCAGTTAAAGTGGTGCCTGACAGGTTTCACCTCTAAGGTTTTTTCCCTTTGTAATAAATATCTTGGGAGAGATACTTTAAGATTATGCAAAGTTCTATTTCTTCTCAAACTTTTTTCCAATAATTTTAGCATCCACTGGTAAATTTTGCCTGTAACAATTATTACGATGTTTATGTAGATTTTAAAAGTAACTAAAATATATAAAATATAATGGCTGAATTGTTCTTGATATAAATATATTTAAATTCTACTGGATGCGTTTTTTCTTATATTCAAAATATGAATAAACATTATTTTCTTTTGTCAGCATTCAGTTAATGTTAATCAATTATGACACCAAAAAATAACATAATTGAAATGTTACTTACATAACTATGGCTTTTAAAGAAATCTGATGGACTAGTGGTGAGGATTTTGTCTCCTTCCAAACCAATTACTCTTTTACAAATATTTGATTTTGGATCACTTGGGCTTTTTGCAATCACAATGTCACCTCTGAGGGGGAAAAGTCAAAGAAATGTCTGTATTATTTATTAAGCATAAACACATGCATGGCACTGCTTTAATACTTTTATAAGGCAACTTAAACAAAGCCATAACCTTTATCCTCTCATATACTGACTCTTCCATACATTTACTGGTTTTGAGAACCTTTGCGACTGAATACTTTGGGTGAGAATCCAACAATAAGAGTGATGAAAAGGCTATCTAAAATTTCTGATAATTTCAGAAGATTCTAAACTTTCAGATAATTCCACAAGAATTATCTTTTTGCATTGTATCCACTATGCTTTACTCCTGTGTCCAAATTCTTAGAACCAAAATTGTGGGAAAGCAATTCTATATAGGCCAGGTACAGTGGCTCACAACTATAATCTCAGCACTTTGGGAGGCTACGGCAAGGGGATTGCTTGAAACCAGGAGTTCATGGCTACGGTAAGCTCTGATCGTGCCACCATGGGCAACAGACTGAGACCATGTCTCAAAAAAACAAACAAACAAACACCAAGAAAAACCCCAAATGAACCAAAACAAACAAACAAACAAAAAACCCTCCACACAATTCCATATAAATACTAACAAATTAAGTAAACAAATATTGCTGTCCAGACAGTAGCACTGATTGACTTTAGGGTACACTAAAAAGGTAAAAACATCATCCATGTTTCCCTAGAACTCAAATAATTGAGGAATGATAGCATATAAGTCCTATAACCTGTATCAAAAGAACTTATATTTGAGAACAAAAATCAAAAGATACAACAAAATAAAATGCTAAAAGTTGCCCAAATATACACTCTGAAAAATAAAATGAGACATCAAACATATAAAACCAATAAGGGTCTGATTACATACAGAAGACATGATTTATGATAAGAAGAACTGACAATCTATTTGGTAATAAAAAATAAGAAAGATCCTAAAGAGTGGAAAGGAAGAAGACAGAACCTAGGACTAATGACCACAGTCAAACAGAACACAATGCTCTTTCTGCATAAAACGAGCAATATGTGAATTCTGTTGACTAACACACATTTAAAAGGATTTAACATATTTACTTATTAATTGTACCTAGTTCCAGAAATAGTTTAATGTTACTTATAATAAAATAAGCATATGTCAAAATAGTATTAAAAGTCATAAGAATAAAAGGAAAATGATGATGAAATCAGAAACCTAGTAACTGCTCTATAGAAGCATTAAAATGGGTTCTAAACTCTTTGGGAGCCAAGTCAGAAGAAATTAAGACCAGTTAATGGAAATCATTAATTAATAAAACAGTTTGGGAGGTAAGACAAAATTTTCCCTAAAAACTAAATCAAAGAGAAATTCACAAGAAACATTCTTATATAACAGAATGAAAGATACCATTATCGGAAATTTTACAGAAAGTGCAGAAATAGTATTTACAATGATGGTCTTTTGAGGCTATTCTTGGTAAGAGTTGAAAGGTAGCAAATCATTACATTCTATAATTTGGATGTTGCCTTCTTTTGAAAATAGAATACAGTATTTTCTTTCTAAACAACTAGAACCATGTCAGTGGATCTGTTCAGATGAACAAATTTGCAAAAATTGTAACACCATCAAAGTTGATTTTGGGTAGCTTTGGAGGAAGAGACGTTTTTCCATGGGTGTTTAATGAAGCTTAAGTTCTTTGATCAAATAATCAATATGACCCTTAAAACAAACTTTGCACTCGAATGGCAACATAGAAATCATAATTCAGTCGTGCTGTTTTTGTAGAAAGTAGTATTAACATAAACTTTATTTCTGGTAGTCTAACTAGACATATGCATAGCATTTAAATCAAAATACATATCCCTTGGATTCTTAACTCCTTCAAATAGTTTTAAAAGGAAGCTTATTAAAATTTTCTCATATTTATAAACAACTTATTCTACTACACAGTAAGCTTTTGAAAACTAGTGTCAATATCTCATTAATCTTAATATTCTCTATAATGTACAGTACATCTTATAAATTAGGTGCTCACTACTATTTATTGAAAGAATAAGCAGCAGTAAAAATTTGACTGTCTCAAGGTTGAGTGTTCTCTGCAGCTGACTGAAGAGACATCCATGTGCTCTAGATACTAGATATGCAAACTTTTACTCTTGCCTAAATGGAAGGTTATTTTACATTTAGAAACAGGCAGCCAACAACAGGACCCCTTACCAGGAGTCAAATATTCCCCTGAAATCTTGAGTTCTGTGCTGCGGGTAAAAGAAAGAGAATACTCAGGACGGTAATATTTTTTAAGTAAAAGTTACCAGCTGGCTACCTTGGCTCTAAAAGTTACTTTGGTATATCTCATAAATGCCAGATTTTGAGCTGTCCTGTAACCTGGATGAAGAGAGTACAAAATAAGATCTTCAAAGAATATGAATTCATTTACTGAATGTAGTTATTTGTTTCACTTATCTGAATGCAACGAGTAATTGTTTAAAAAATATCAAGCTGTGTATTCAAAAACTATTCAGCCAACAAGTTCAGCTCCTCATTCAGGATGCCCAAGGATTATTGTGAATAAAATTATGTCACTGGCATGGAACACAGACGCTTGTTTTCATGCTACATCATGAGGCTAGGTCTCCAGTTAATTCAAAGGCTATATAAGGATAATTTGATATAAGTTAAAAAGAAAAGGGAACAACAACACAATCTATTATATAAGTTTTATTTTATAACTCCTATATCTACAATTAAGTATATAGAAGTTGTTATGGGTAAAAGATTTGAAGAAGAATCACCTAGGGAGCATGCCAAACTATACAGCTTGACCAAGAGAATTTATCTGCAGAATCTAAGGCTGGTGAAAGATCAATAAATGTGAAGAAATGTATTCTTAACAATTTTCAGTACCGTGCAATAGGTTATAGCAAAGGTGAACAGTGAAAGAGAAGTGCCTAAACCTACTTATTATGCCATAAACTAAATACTAGCTCAAGGGAATCAAATTTGTAGTTTACTGAAATGAAAGCAGGCATAGAATTTTTTCAGAATTATAAAAAACAAATGGACTCAAAATTTTAGGATATCAGAGAGGTGCTCTTTAGAAAATATATTAAATTATTAATACTTGACATTCATTTGGAAGAGATCATTCTCATAGAGTTAACTGGAATAAAGGGTATCACAAGGATTGGAACCACCATTTGAAATAGGATTTTTAAATTATTTTTTTGGGGGAAGGAGTCTTGCTCTGTCACCCAGGCTGGAGTGCAGTGGCACGATCTCGGCTCACTGCAACCTCCATCTCCCAGGTTCAAGCAATTCTCCTGCCTCAGCCTCCCGTGAAATAGGACTTTAAAAGGTTTAGTGACAAACAATATTTGCCCAGGAGTTATTCAAGTTAATATAATTAATCAGGAGACTCATAATATATACAATTCCTGGTTCTCAGCTATATACAATGATGTAATCTAAAAATCATCAAATGGGCTGGGCATGGTGGCTCACACCTGTAATCTCAACACTTTGGCAGGCTGAGGTGAGCAGATTGCTTGAGCTCAGGAGTTTGAGACCAGCCTGGGCAACATGGCGAAACCCAGTCTCTACAAAAACTACAAAAATTATCTGGGCGTGGTGTATATACCTGTAGTCACAGCTACTTGGGAGACTGAGGGGAAGGATCACTGGAGCTCAGGAGGTTGAGGCTGCAGGGAGCTGAGATCGTGTCACTGCACTCCAGCCTGGGAGCCAGAGCAAGACCTCATCTCAAAAAATGTGTATCAGAAAATTTAAAAATATAAAAACCATCAAACAGTCATCATAGGCTATACATAGAGAATAAGATAGCAATCAATAGAACTACAGGATTATTTTTAAAATTAAAGAACAAAAACATTGATTTGGATCTGTAATGTAATACCTAAGTTCCTAGTTCTTAACTGAAAACATTCTAAAACCCAATAAAAAAAAGTTAAGCTTACATGTATATTGTAAGGGACTGTTAATTATTTTTCACAATGACGCAAGAGATACAATGACCCAAGAGACTGCATATGTTTGAGAAACTATTAAAATTTCTCAAACTGAAAGAAAATATTTGACTCAAAATTTTAACTAGCTGGTTATTAACATGTTTATTTATGGAACAGTTTTTAAAGATGAAGTTAAGGAATTGCAGAAAAGACATAATGTGTGTATATATTTTCACTGTAAATTTAATATATCCATGACAGAAATTTACCTTTGGATACCATAAAAATGTCGACTAAGATTTTCTGCAAAGACAATATCTGAATTTTGAATTGTAGGCTCCATTGATGGTCCAGAACACTGAAAAGAGAGGTAATTTGTAATCTAAATTCAAAATCTCTTTTAAATTTAACATAAATCATTTGAGCAGGCTTAAAAGAAAGAAACTCAAGCAAATGTTCTTAAAGCTTGGGGGATGATTCATGAAAATCTGGCAGTTCTCAAGTAAGTTTAACTCTAGAGTAGCCACTAAGTCTGAAAATATAGAAAAATATGTTATAAATGGATTATTGATTTCACATTATAATGCCTGAACAAAACAAACTACCTATGTTTCCAAATTTAGGCCACCCTATAGAATGTCAGTTCTATGAGGGCAGAGATCTCTCTCATGTTCCCAGCTATATAACCAAAGCCAAGAACAATGTTTGGTACAAAATTGATAAACCATACATATTGGTTGAATGAATGGGAGAATGATTCATTTTCTTATTACTATCAGATATAATCCAGTGAACATGATGATGATTTACTAAATGGTATTAAACTATTCTCAACGAGCTTATGCCCATCTTCCTCTTCCAAGAGAATAGCTTACTCATTTCATGGGGCTACAACTTAAATTTTCTACTGAAAAATACTAGTATGAAGACATGGACTTTAAAGATTTTCAGGGCTAGGCATGGTGGCTCACACCTGTAATTCCAAAACTTTGGAAGAAAGACTTGAGGACAGGAGTTCAAGACCAAACCTGGCAACCTAAAGAGACCCCATCTTTACAATAAAGCAATCAAAGGTTTTCCTATTTGTATGTCTCAAAACCATAATCTTGATATATACAGGTTGAGTATCCCTAATAAAAAGTCTGAAATTTTAAGTGCTCTAAAATCTGAAATGTTCTGAGAGTCTACATGATATCACAAACGGTAAATTCCATACCTGACCCCATGGGATGCATCATAGCCAACATGCAGTCAAAATTTTTGTTTCATGTACAAAATTCTTTAAAATAGCATATAACATTACCTTCAGGCTATGCATACAAGGTACATATGAAATACAAATGAATTTTGTGTTCAGACTTGGGTCCCATCCCCAAAATATCTCATTATATATATGCAAATATTCCAAAATTCAAAAAAAATCTAAAATCCATAACACTTCTGGTCCCAAGTATTTCTCATAAGGGATACTCAAACTCTACCTCAGAATCAGAAAAAATTATCATTGCCACCTTAAAAATCTAAATACGACAGTCTCCATTTACTCTACTTGTAAATAAAACTTTTTACTCAAAAGTTCCTACTCAGGCAGAAATAAGAAGAAATATGATTACAGTTTGTTTGCTACCTTTGTAAGTACCAATCTAACTTACAAAAAATCAAGGTGGCAAGTTTCAGCCAGGTACAGTGGCTCATACCTATAAAACCAGAACTTTGGGAGGCCAAGGTGGGCAGTTCACTTGACGCCAGGAGTTCGTGCCCAGCCTGGACAACATGGTGAAACGCCATCTGTACTAAAAATACAACAATTAGCCAGGCGTGGTGTCGCACCCCTGTAGTCCCAGTTACTTGGGAGGCTGAGGCACGAGAACTGTTTTGAGCCCAGGAGGCGGAGGCTGCAGTGAACTGAGATCACTCGATTGCACTCCAGCCCAGGCAACAGAGCAAGACCCTGTCTCAAAAAAAAAAAAAAAAAAAAGGAAAATTTGAGTTAAACATATATATTTCCATTACTCCATCTTAACTGGAAGTTACGTGACTGTCAATCTGATAAAGTAAACCTAATTTAAAAAAACAAAAACAACAGTAATAACAACAATTAAAAAAAACTGACTAGCTGGTCAATCAATTTGTTCTTTACATGACAAAAGGTTTGAATCAACAACCACAGTTCATAGTTTCCCACTACAATATTAAGAACAAGTATTAGTTGGGGATAGGGAACAACTTTAACATCTTAATATAGACATTAGGCAGAATAATCTGTCTTAATTACAGATTATTAATTTGTTTTAATTACAGTTAAACATGGTGGTAATGAGCTGGAATTCTGAAAACTGGACAAATATGTGTTGAAATTTCAAGTTACTTACTAACTGTGGGATCTGGAACAAGTAAGTTACTTAAGCTTTCTCAATTCATTTCCTCATGTGTATATTGGATTACTAATAAGTATATCAAAGAAGTGTAAAAGATTAAATTAGTAAGTGTAAAACATCAAACATATCCTGAAACACAGTAAATAGGATTCAATAAATGGTAACGACTATTATTGTTCTACTATTCAAAAGGACCTTTTGTGCCCATTAGAAACAGAATACAGAAAATATTTAAGTAACGGTCCTTATACCTTCTCTCAGGGCCAATTCAAACACACTCTCTTATTATTCCAATATTTAGAAATATTTTATGTTTTAACTTTCACATTTTAATAATTAAATAACTTCAACTATAATAAAAGGAAAAACACATTTTCCTTCCATTTGAAAAGAAGTATATATTTAAGATGAATATTCTTGAACATAAAAACTTACCATGACAACACCACCAACGTATTCAAAAGCACAATGAGCTATACAGCCATACTGAATAGTATAGCCAACAAGTCGAAAGGTTTTCCCCAGAACACCACGAAGCATAGTTCTATGTAGACTCTGCCACCATTGGCCTGATGGTAAATTTCAAAAAGTTTCATGATCAATACTATTTAAAAACATTTAAGAAACAGCTCTATTGTAAAATATTTTACAATCACCCAAAATGTACTAAGTGCCTAATACAATTTGGTGCAGGAAAGCAAGAGTTTATTATCAGTTCTACTAATGATATTATGGCAAATTGCAGCCACTAAATATTTAGATTTGCCAAAGTTTATATTCAAATGCCACTAGGTCTATATATGAATTATATAATTAGTAGATTCTAAATTAGTCTGTCCCCTTCCATGTCTTGGTTATTTCTTCTATTAAGGCAGATGCTTAAAAAAGATAGTAACTCTTTGAAAGGACTAATAACAGTTTTTCACATTTGTTCCTTGCTATATATTACTTCTTGCCATGTAATAGAAAATAATGGAGAAATCACTAGAATAGGAATATGGAGATTCAAGTTTCACACTGGTTCTTTTACTAACTTGTATAATCTTCAACAAACTACTTAACCTCTCTGGGGCCTAGTAGAAATAATCTCTCATAGAATGATTCTTAGAATCAAATTCAGCAACATATGTCAAAGTACTTTATAAATTATAAAGTTACATTCATTTGTGAGTTATTAACTATTGATGTAACAGAAGGAACACAGACATACTATGAAACAACAGCATAAAGTACCATTTAAAGATTTTTAAAAGCTATATAAAATTTTAAAATATTATTCATCTAAAATATTTCTAATATCTGTCCTTCCTATTTAACTGTCACAACTATGTATCATGCATTTCTCAACTAATAGCCTAACCCTTAGGCCTAGGCTACAATATACTGTTCTCAAATTAAATTTATTAAAATACATCAATAATAGTTTGTAACATCTGCTTAACATGTGAAGATTTACATATAATACCTCTGTAAGATAGATATTATTATCATCCTCAATTTATAGACAAGACCAAAAAAAGCCTAAGACTAGTAAAGTAACTGGCTTATTATCATCACAAAGTTGGTATAGGATGAAGCCAGTAATAAAAGGTCTCCCAACAAAGAAAAGCCCAGCATCAGATGGCTTTACCTCTGAATTCTTCCAAACATATAAAAAAGAACCAACACCAATTCTTCTCAAACTATTCCAAAAAACTGGAAATTGAGGGAATTCTTCCTAATTTATTCAGGTCAGCATTGCCCTAATGCCCAAACCAGACACAGGAAAAGAGAAACTACAGGCCAAAATGCCAGTGAGCTCAGATGCAACAATCCTCAACAAAATACTAGCAAACCAAACCCAACAACACATTAAAGAGATAATACACCACAATCAGGTGGGATTTATCCCAGGGATGCAAGGATGGTTCAACACATGCCAATCAAACAGCGTGATATAACACATCAACAGAATGAAGAACAAAAACCATAAAATGATCTCAATAGACGCAGAAAAAGCATTTGATAAATTTCAACATCACTTCATGATACAAACTCTCAAGAAATTAGGCAAAGAAGGAACATACATCAAAACAATAAAAGGCAATATATGACAAACCCACAGCTAATATCATACTTAATGGGGGAAAAGCTGAAAGCCTGTCCTCTAAGATCTGGAACAAGACACGGATGCCCACTTTAATCACCCTTATTCAACATAGTAATGGAAGTCTCAGCCACAGCAATTAGGCAAAATAAAGAAATAAAGGGCATCCAAATTGAAAAAGAGGAAGTAACTATCCTGGTTATGGATGACATGATCTTATATATAGAAAAATCTAAAGACTTCACCACAAATACTTTTAGAACTGATAAATGAATTCAATAAGGTTGCAGGATACAAAGTCGACATACAAAAATTAGTAGCATTTTATTCACCAGGAATGATCTAGCTGAATAAGAAATCAATGGGATCAATAAAGCAATCCCACTTAAAATAGCTATAAAACATTAAAAATATAACTAGGAATAAATTTACCCAAGGAGGTGAAAGACCTCTAAAATGAAAACTATAAAAACACTGAAAGAATTGAAGAGGACATAAAAAATAAAAATGGAAAGACAGCTCATACTCATGGATTATAAGAATTAATATTGTTAAAATGACCATACTACCCAATGTGATCTAAAGATTCAATGCAATCTCTATCAATATGCCAAAGTCATTTTTCACAGAATTAGAAAACAATCCTAAAATTCATACAGAACCACAAGACCCCAAATAACCAAAGCAATATTGAGCAAAATGAATAAAGCTGATGGTATTACACTACCGGACTTTAAAATACACTACAAAGCTACAGTAACCAAAACAGCATGGTATTGCTATAAAAACACATAGACCAATGGGATAGAACAGAGAACCCAGAAATAAATCCATGTATTTACAGCCAACTGATTTTTGACAAGGTGCCAGGAGCATACACTGGAGAAAGGACATCTCTTCAATAAATGGTGCTCAAAAATTTGGATATCCACATGCAGAAGGACAAAACTAGTCCCCATATCTCTAACCATATATAAAAATCAACTTAAAATAAATTACAGACTTATAAATAAGATCAAACCATAATACTATAAGGGAAATACTTCAAGACATTGGTCTAGTCAAAGATTTTATGGCTAAGAAATCAAAAGAACAAGCGAGGAAGAACAAAAATAGACAAATGGGATTTAAACTAAAACGCCTCTGCTCAGCAATGAAAATAATAAAGTAAAAAGACAACATGTCGAATGGGAGAAAATATTTGCAAACTATGCATCCGATATGGACTAATATTCAGAATATACAAGGAACTCAACAGCAAACAACCAAATAACCCAATTAAAAAGTGGACAAATGATCTTAATAGATATTTTTCAAAAGAAAACATACAAATGGCCAACAAATATATAAAAATATGCTCAACATCACTAATCTTCAGGGAAATGCAAGTCAAAACTATAATCAGGTATCATCTTACCCCAGTTAGATTATTATCAAATAAGACAAAGTAAGTGCTGGCAAGGATGTGGAGAAAAGAAAATTCATATACCCTGTTAGTGGGAATGTAAATTAGTACAGTCATTATGGAAAACAGTGTGGAGGTTTCTTTAAAAACTCAAAAGAGAATCAAAAAATAATTCTCGCAATCCTGCTACTGGGTATTAATCCAAAATAAAGGAAATCAGTATATCAAAGGGATACCTACATCCCCATGTTTATTGCAGCTTAGCTACTATTCACAATAGCTAAGACATAGAATCAACTGAAATATCCATCAGATGAACGGATAAAGAAAAACATGCTATACATACACAATGGAATATTATTCAGCCACAAGGAGAATGAAATCCTGTTATTCAAGGCAATATGAATGACCCTGGGGCACATTATGTTAAGAGAAATAAATCTGGCACAGGAAGAAAAATACCTTACATTTTCACTCATCTGCAGGAGCTTAAAAAAAAATTAAGCCTATGGAAGTATAGTGTAGAAATATGGGTATCAGAGGCTGGGAAAGGGAGGTAGGAGGGGAGAATGAGAAGTTGGTTAATGGACACAAAATTACAGCTAGACAGGAGGAATGAGTTCCTGCCTTCTGCAGCACTGTTGGGTGAATACGGTTAACTATAATTTATTGTATATTTTCAAAAAGCTACAAGAAGATCTTCACTGTTCACAATATAAATGATGTGTTTGAGGTAAATATGCTAATTACCCCAATTTGATCATTATATAATGTATACATGTAACAAAATATCACTGTATCCCAGTAATAAATACATTTATTACATACCAACTAAATACAAAAGGAAAAACACTGAAAGTAATCTAGAACGTATCTTAGTAAGTTGTTGTTGGTTGTAGTATTTTATATATATTTCAGATAGTAAAAGTGAGCAAATATTTAAGTTGTTTTTCATTGTGAGAAAAAGAAGCAACAAATATGTAAAGGGACCTTAAGGATAAACTTGAGTTATCAAAACAAATTTACTTAAATAAACATGTATATATTTGTCTGTTTGCCTATTTAAAAGTGTCATCCTAGCTCTGTCCACTGTGAAAAGGCCATTGTAAGAAGCAATGACACTGTAGTAATTATGAGCACTCTTAGTGCCCACATTTTTGGTTTCTAAGTATTCTTAGAAATATTTAGAGCAGAGCAGAACAGTCAGTGCTCAAAGACTGATGCAAACAAAGGAACCATTCTCAGGGGTCATCCAATGGCCAAATTCGGGACAATATAAGCCTAAAAATAGTTAACAGTAATTGATAATACATTAAATTTGGGACAATATAAGCCTAAAAATAGTAACAGTAATTGATAATACATTAAATTAAAAATGAAATTTTTAAAAAGATGCATGTGTTGGGGACAGGGAAAGTTCTTTATCAAAACATGACAGCTAATAAATGTAGAAGGAATGATAAAATTATCACCAGTATAATAACTGATTCAGACAAGGGCCATTGATGCATGCTAAAATACACTGAGTGAAACATTGTTGGTCAACAGGATATTTGAAAAGTATCAAAGTAGATTTTTTTTTTTTTTACAAAGGGAACAAGGTATCTTTACAATGGGAAGATCTGGTAAACACTATCTTAACTAAATGACCAAATTTAGCAGCATACTGATATCATGTAGCCTCTTACCAATGGAATGACAAGTACACCATCATCTGTGTACCATTCTTGCCGAAAATGTGTAACCTAAATATGATCATGAACAATCAAGATATATCCATATTGCAGACATTCAACAAGACAACCAGCTTGAACACTTAAAAAGTATAAATTTAATGAAAGGAAAAATAATACTAAGAGTACTATTTTCAATTACAAGAAAATAGAAGGACACAACAACCAAATACAATATGAAATCTCGAATTGGATCCTGGAGCAAAAGGAAAAAGAAAGCTATGAAAGACATGGGGACAACTGGGTAAATCTGAATATTGTACATAAAAATATATCACTGTTCCAGTGTTAAACTTCTTAACAATATCATGCTATGTAGTAGAATGACCTTGTTCATAGGAGATA